GAGCGCGGCCGGGTGGGCAGGCAGGTGCCTTGCTCGCCTGTGCTTGGGGGGGCACTTTTTTCAGTGCCATTGTAACTTCGAACAGTCACTAAGCGAACTGTTGTAAATCGAGGACTACCTGTACTTTATCACTTTTTTTCCTTTTTTGGGGTGGGGATCATCAAGTTTTTGACACCTTGCTAGGCGACTGGTGGTACTCGGATGTTGCCATATCCTAAAAGTGGTACAATGGGTGAAAAGGTTGAAAAGCCCTGCTCTAGAAATCAGGACATGGAACTAACTGAGCAGCAGAGACACCCTTCAGCTTTGCCTGTGCAAACTGTCAAGTCAAGAAGCTACAAATGTCTTCCCAACATTTGCAAGTAAAAGATGGCAACATAAAAGCAAAGCAATCATTTAAATAAAGTTACTAGCTATTAAGGCTTGTCAGTGGAAGAAGAAACCCAATAAAAGAGGAAAATACAACTAAATCAGCAAGTGCATAAGACTTACATTGTTACATTTCTGTATACTTACTCTAATTCGTTTTACCATAAAACTGATATTTCTGATTCCTGAGAAATCTGTAGATTGGTAAATTGTGTCAATTGCTTTAACATGGCTGGAAATCTAAAAGAAAGAGGAAGTTAAAGACATTGGCGGTAGATCCACTTCCCTCTGCAACCTGCAAGATCCGTTTTTCTAACTCTGGGTGCCCAAGGGCAAGTGCTGGTCTGTGTCTCTAAGTCAGGCTCCAGCTTGCCCTCAAGCAGAGAGAAACCTGTGCACAGCCTTTGGCTCAGGCCACCTCTATACACTGACTTCAGGTTCACTTTAGTAACCTCCTGACTTCTTTCCATATCAGGATTTAAAAGGAATCACAGTTAAGTGTCAAAACAAAGCAAACAGACTTGGGGCTGATTTTCCAACCAAAAGTGGTTTTTATTTATTAGATTTTTACGCTGCTTTATTACTTATAAACTCAAGGAAGCTAACATACATAATATTTCTTCCTCCTTTCTCCACAACAACCATCGGTTGAGGTGAGTTGGTCTGAAAGAGAGGGACTTCATTAATGATTCTTGGTTGGCCTGGAAAAAAATGAGTGAAACTGAACTCTCCCTTATTTCTCCTCCTAGGCTCTAGGCAGAAGGAGGCATACCCCCCTCCCCCCTCCAGCTTCCCCAAGTTCTTCTAGGCCCCTATACATTATTGTGTCTGATTACAGCTATCTACGAGATACAAATTCGGAAAGCGACTGACAGAAACTCTTCAGAAATTCAGACAGGAATCTTTCTCAGTCCTCTTGCCAGAGCCACAGACATAACCCAGAGCTGTTCACAGGCAAAGCATGTCCTCTACAACTGAGCGACAATAATATTATCAATCTCATAAATTTCACTGGATATTCAAATTTTTTAGTCATTTTTCTTCAAAAGATGCCGCAGTGCACATCCATGAAGTAATACACATTCTGCAATTATCACACTTGTACACATAATTTGCGGGAAATAAATGCCTGTAGTAGTACACTCAAAGTTGCATCGTGGCCTATGAAAGCTCTTCCACTCTCGCCCTTTATTTTGACAAGGAAATCAAACTTCTGCAGGAACCACCAGGAGCTTACCTGTGCAATCACAGCTTCTCGGGTTCCGTAATACCTGAAGAAAAGATGATCGGTTTGAATATAGAGTTGACAAGTGTTCTTTTCAGCTTGCGCGGCTCGTTTTCTCCTCAAGAGCTCAGGGTCGTCTCTGATCTGTTCCTCAGATGGCTGCTAAAGCATAAGGAATCAATTACATTTAGGCACAAGGTATTTATATAGCCTTCCATTTCAAACGATTCAACTTGTATGTGAGAATAAGAGGACTAAAACAAAGTTATGGACCTTGTCATTTCTGGAGTGATGTGACAGAAAGTGCCAATTTCAGGTCAGCTCTTCTCCATCCCATCGTACCTCCCCCTTCATCTTTCACCCGTACAATCTCAGCTGCTTGCAGCCAGCCACATTTCTCTAAGTATATGTGCCGGTAGAGTAATTTGGAGTTGAAGATCTTAATTAATTAATTTGCCCCACACAAAATTTAGCCAAGGACTGAAAGGAAACAAAATACCTCAGGAGCCACTTGGATGGACAAATCATGGAAAGCCACATTTCTGCAGCCCAAGGAAATTCAACTTTTTGGGCCTGCTGCTATCAGGTACTTAAAATATTCTTAAACCTGCCATTAATTTTAGTAGAAATTTAAAAATCTAATAAATCAACTCAGTCTATGGATTGTAACTATAGATAATTTAAAGACTGTTGGGGGGGGCAGAAACGTAAAATTCTCTACATTATTACATGCAAAGTTCAGCCAGTTCTGCATAGTAGATATTTGCAAAAAACCCAAAACCTTCTGGTAACATCTGGCAAATTCAAACTGAAAAACTGCAAGGAACACATAGTGATGACATATCAATTCAAAATTAGATAAACCAGGAGCTTGTTTTGTGTCACATCATGTCAATAGCAGAATACAATTTCCCTGGTCAGATCAACAGTAGATACACAAGAAAGATAACAGGCATTTTATCCAATCATTTATTCCATGCTTGATACCTGGTGCCTTGGCTCTTCTTCTGCCCCCCCGGCCATTTGGTATTTTCTCATCCTTTCAAAGACGGCATGATCTGCACAACCGCCTTGTGGTCCATACTTATGGGGATATTCTGAAACAGAAAGATTTGCTGGCACATATTTTCCTCTAGAAATGGTTTTAAAATTAAGACACTCAGTTACTAATTTTAAAATGTATTCAAATCAGTAGGATCAAAACAATGGAAAGAGACAAAGAAGAAATATGCAATATCAATAACAATTTTAATGAGGCTTAGTTCAATCTGTTACATAATCCTCTCTCTTTTTGCAGAGTGGGGCATTAAACAGTATTACACAGCTAATACGAGGTGTCCCATATGCTTTGTTTTTCTATTAAAGATAAATTTGGCACAAAATCCTAGCAGCTGCGGGTCCCCTTGACCGCCACATCCCATGTTTGGCTCAATTGTACATGTGGGTTGCATATTGTGGAACAATCTTCCACTGGGAACAAAGCAATTCCCCCACTATTTACCATTTAGAAGAGTTTAGAACATATTAACTAAGATTTTCTGATGCTATTGCTTTATCTGCTGTTTATATTGGTCACGCTTTTTAATGTTGTTTTTATGGATATCTGTACTGCAGTATTATTGTCAGTCATCCAAAGCCAGTGGAATGAGCAGCACAAAAACCTTCTAAAAAAGAAGTCAGGATCCAAGCAATCTTCAAGCAAGGGATCAGATTTGCCCTGGCAATGATTAATTGTTGACTCCTTGCTGGCTAAAAACAGTTTCGGGACAAGAACAAAGCAATTCTAATCTGCATATTTTAATAAAGCAGCAGTCAAATGAAACTTCCCTTTTAAACCAATGCATCATAAGAATCAACCTGGGTACAATCTTGAATCACAATACTCGACAACCCCATAAACAACTATACTGGGCTCCAGCCTCACTACAGCTCAGTGCTTGTGAGAAAAGGTCTTCAAGGCTCTCCAGAAGGCGAGGAGGGCAGGAGTCTTCTGGATTTCAGGGGAGGGCAGGGGCTGCTACTGAGAAGGCCTGCTGCCTAGATCCCACTAGATAAGGGAAGGCACTGGGAGCGTGGCCCCTCTGGCCTGGGAGAAGTGGGTGGATACCCTCTGGGAGAGGTGGCCCCACAGATAACCTGGCCCTGTGCCACTTAGAATGATAAGCAGAGTAACATGAGCAGATTCTTTGCATTTGTTATTTTATATGATTGTGCTTCCTCCCCCCTTCAACCTGTGGATCTTTATCTGCTGATCTGGATCAGCTTCTACATTATACCCCTTCCCCTATTGTCTTTAGGTTTATTGCAACTTCATCATTTTTATCCAAGCAAATACAATCAAAGAGACAGGTTTGATTTTGATTTTGATTTTTTTGATTTTATTAAATTTATACCCCGCCCTTCTCCCGGAGGACTCAGGGCGGCTTACAGCCAGTTTAAAACAATGATATAATACAATACAAAATTTAAAAAGATTAAAAATAACTATTTAAATTTGGCCGCTTCTACTAAAAATTTAATTTAAAACCCCTTTAAAATACCCCTAGGCCAGTCCTGCCTGCTGAAAT